GTGTGTGTGTGTGTGTGTGTGTGTGGCCTAAGATGAGGGGTGCCTTGTACACAGGGTTAGAGGTCTTGAGCATTATCATGAAACAATGGTTGCTTGACAGTTTTTTGAATATCAGTCCTTTTATTAGTATGGATGTGTTGTTTCTATACAGATGCAGAGGCTGGTGTCTAAACTGAACAGTCCTGGAAAGGTATACCAGATGTTCCTAACAGCGCTGCCTCAGGAGTAGGACAAGGGGGATGTGGGGGGAACATTTTTCTCTTTCATTTCATACTCTATTGCATGCTTAGCAATTTTCCACACAAAATAATGGCTCTAACTGTCATAAGGAATAGGGACGTAAAAGGGGTAAGGATAGATAGGAAGCTATTGCGCTGGACAGAATGAAAGATTGTAATAACCCTGGGAGTGTATACCGCCTCAATTGTCCTTGAATTTTATTCCAAGTCTTGGTGAAATGAATACATAGTGTGGCCTAAAGATAGGGGAGGGAGGTGAGAATATGCCAGCCTCTGCATGGGCTTCCCAGTCTGATCCCCATGCCCCATGCAAAACCAATGGATTTGTTTCATAGACCACGAATCAGTGCTCCATGACAAACGTGCTTTTACCCACTTACTCCTTCACAGTTGTCGGCCGTGGGTCTTTTCTGCCTCTACCCTGATCTCACGGAGATGAAAATGAAAGGAGAATGAGGTATCAATTAGGTGCAAGCAAATAACCACAGCTAATGCCAAGCACTGCAGCAGGGCTGACAACCGCCCCAGCGGCAGTTAGACAGGTATGACACGTGAATTTGAAAATAACAGAAGTTGTGTTGACCCAGAAAAACACTGTATTGCCTTTAATGTCACTCACTAGGATTTCAAGTCCTAGGAGCCTGATTGAACTAATGACAGAACAGCTACATCTTTATTCAGACACAGCTCTCTCATGAGCTTGCCACAGACAGTACGACTCCTCTCTTCCTCTCTCTTTTCTCCCCTCCTTCTTTCCATCACAGATATTTATGGAGGATTGACCGTATGCCAGAAATGGATCTAGGCACTAAATAGCCAGAAATGTCAATGTTGGGTGTGTGTGTGTGTGTGTGTGTGTGTGCGCGCACACAAGCAGGGGGTATGCTATTTCCAAGGACAACACAAAAACACCCAAGTTGGGTTGTAGGCAAGTTTGATGAGAAGCCCTGGTGGAAAGAAGCAGCTCAAATGAATGGGGGACACTTCAGACAGTGAAAGACCCACATGGCAGATCTGGCTAGACAGCACGGGGGAGCCACTGGATCACGCAGGCATCCGCCCTGCTGAGCAAGGGTTTTGACTGATTTCATGAGCTGATAGGAAATCAATCAGGAGAGAAGCCAGGACCTGTGGCTGTCACTGAAATTGATCAGTCAGTTGACCATGACAGCCTGAGCCGCTTCCTCCCAAATACTTTCCTGGGGCTGGGACAGGCCTCTCTCCTCACCCATGTGCCCCTGCTAATGTTGCTATGACTTCCCTTTCATTGGTTATCTAAATAACCTTCATCTCTCCTTCAAGATTCCTCCCAAATTCAACTTGGTGGGGAGGAGCATAGTAAGTTGAAATGAACTGCAGAGGCTAATGTATCGATTGAACAGAATGATGGGACAATCTGTCATCTCAGCCAGGCTACTGGGCTGGCTTATGGGGATCACTCTGCCCAGTTTGACCTCTGATGGGGAGCAAGCCATTTCATTCCTTTTAGCCCTAAGTCTGTTTTTGTACAAAATTCAGCTTTAGTTATTTTTTTCTGAGACTAAATGTGAGCAAAGAGGAAGAACAAGTGATTCCCATAATATCAGAAAACACTTGGAAAATACCTAACCACTTAATGATCAAAGAAATGCATATTGAAACAATGAGATAGCTTTTCTTTAAACTCTATGACTGGCAATCTAGATATATATATAAGGCTAATATGCTAAGTGTCCGACCATCTGGGTAATGACGTCATGTAGCAATGCCTGGCTTCCTCTCCCTAGCGACGACTAGCCTCCTTGCAGTTTCTTCAACCCAGGAACATGACTTGCTTCATAGCCAGGTGCAAACATTTCACACTTTAACCAAATGATTGTGAAGCATTTTCCCATGTCTCATCTCATTTGATCCTCACAGAGTCCTGGAATAGATAGACAGGAGACTCGGTAGAATCCTATTTTCTTTTCATTAGCTGGAAAATGGAGATTTAGAAAGCTTAGAAACTTGACCTGACTGAAAAGAAGAAATGGTGGACCTTGAAAATGACTTCAGGTTTTCTCACTGCACAGAATATAGTCAAACACTGCTGCAGTTAAATATTTTACCCTCTGTTCTCCCTGCATGATCTACAATAATAATCTGCTTCGTGTTGGTATTTACTGCTGTGTTGCTGACAATTACCTGAAAGAGAAGTTGGGGTGCTTCACTGGGCTGGAAAAAGTTTAGCTAAATCAGAAAGCAGGTCTAATTAAGCAAGTTTATTCTAGATCTATAAAAGGCTATGTTGACTCACGCATGCGCAATACTCACTGGCACCAAATGCATGCCTGTGTTTCTATCAGTCATTGTTGATTGTGAATTTGGTTGACAATTATAGAGAGAGGGCGAATAGCAATATAAAAATATTTCTTCTAATTAATTTCCTTCTACTGTGCACGAATCCATGCACCGGGACACTAGTGATTTAATAAAAAAAATGGTACCACTTCCCATTGGTTTGGGGGGAGAAAAACCAGAGTTCTTATTTGCTGTTGGCAGGAACCCTTTTTCCCAGAGGACAGTTGATAACTATGCATCAGTCTTAAAGTGAGCATCATCTTTGATCTAGCAATTCCACAAGAAGGACTTTGGAGGTACTGATCAGAGACTCAAGTGATTTTTTTTAAGGACAAGGGTTTTTATCATAGCACTAGAGGACCGGTGCATGAATTTGTGCATCGATGAGGTCTGGCTGGCCCACCCTGATCCCGGCCGATTGGGGGCAGGGAGGTTGGCCAGCTGGCCCCGCCCCCATCAGGCGGGTTGGCCGGCCACAGTGTGCATCATAGCAACCAGTTGTTC